AAAACATAATAAATATCATTCAGTTGAATATTCACATTTTTAGTTAAGATGCTCACTCTTTCTACAGCTGGTACTGAAGCTATAGATTCATCTGCCATCTTCAACATGATATTCATCTTCTGAGATATAACCTCAATAATATTCTTCAGGGGTATGGCATGGGCTTTTGATTCAAAGTCTAGAACTCAGGTATCCTTCACCACTTTATCAGTGAAATATACCATCTCTTTAATACAGAATACTTACTTTATAACACTATGAACTAAAGCAGTGTTGTCAATATTCTTATTCTTGTTCTTCTGAATATCTTTCTTTTTTTAATTCTTAGAGTATTTTTCTGAATATTTTGTTCAATAGTTAGTTTTAAGATACTCTGTCTTCTGACAATGATAGTATATCTTTTTCATGTTGTGACTATTTTGTTTGAACTTCTTATCTTTGTCTTTATCTTTAATTCTCAAATTATTATTCTTATTCTTATTCTTTTTTCATAAATCTGAGATACTATTTGCAGAATTTTTTGTATTTATCATGATAGTATTCTGTTCAGCAGCTGATAGATATAATAGAATATCTTGATATAATTTCATGAAGTCTATCTCAATATTATGAGCATTGATATCTTTTTCAGTATAGTTCATTCTATCTCTGATGAATGATGCTCATTCAGTGCTGACACCAGTTAATAAACAGTTGAAAAGAACAAAATCTTTAATTTTATATCTTAAATAGATATATTCAATCTGAATGATGATCAGACATTCTACAAAAGCTCTATCTGAGCCTTTTGACTTAGCTGTCAAGCTAATCAGCTTCTCAAAAAGATGAGTGCAGTGAACTGCAGACCTCTCTGAGAAGTTCTCTTCTATGATTATTCATAGATTATATACTGACAACTGATGATCTGATGATATTATAAAATAAGATTTTGCTGCAGATAAGATTGCAGATCACATATGATTATAGAGTCATACATTTCTTTCAGTTCAAAAATATTGCATATTTATACTGATATCATCCTCAGAGGTAGATTGCTTCTAGTTGAGAATATCATTGATTTCAAATTGCTTAGCAGTCAGTAAAATCTCTTTCTTTCACATTAAATAGTTCACAAAATCAGTCAGAATGACAGATTTCTTGATGTGCTTCACTTGATCTCTAAATTCAGTCAAAAATCTTCATTATAACAGTAATCTTGCCTTTTATCTGTAGATAGTTTACAAGATCTTCACTCATTTCATTACTATCAGCATTGATAATGAGTATCTCTCTGCTAGCTATTATCATTTCAACTTCTTGCTGAAGTTTTACAATCTCTAATCTCATCAAAATTTCTTTACTAACTTCTGACACCTGATCACTAGAGTCAATTGAATTCTCTGACATTTCATTAACCAGGTCTTCATATACATTATTAGACTCATTTGATTTCTCCAGAATTATCTTGTCTATCTCAAACACTTCAGAGGCACTTCTACAGACTATAATAGATGTAGACAGTGAATCTGCAGGCTCTGGAGTCCTATTCTCTGAGGTTCTATCCTCAGATCCTCAGTTTTGTCTCCTTTTTGGCACGTATTCTTCTGTCAAATCTGGCGTTCCACCTGAACGTAGATTGACCATTGATGTTGTCCAATTCTGGGGTTATAAGTTTTGTTCACAGTTTGATTGCAGCTTGTTCACAGCTTGTTCACAGTTCATTCACAGCGGGAGACCTCTAATTCAAGGGTCTCATAACCTCTTGGAGGACCGATATCAACCTTATTGCATTGTGGGACTCTAAGCGAGCTAAGCTACAACTAATAAATATATCGGTGCACGTGACCTCGGGTAGCCGGGAATCCTCCAACACAAACTCCCGGCTGCAGCATCGAAGCAGAAGAGACGAAGACGAAGACGAGACGAGAGAGGATCGACGAGAGTGTTGATGTCTTATTCCAGGGTATGTTACATACAACTATGTGAGTAGGAGATAGATTGTCGTATCCTTCAAACACCCTGTGGTGGAGAAATCTTAAAGGATAGAAACCGAAAACGGGATTTGCCCGCCCTCAACATTTCTTTTGAAAGACTCCGCTGGTCGGGATTGTATAGCCGCACTCAGGTCACTTTCAATATACATCCCCATTTTATCATTTTATAATCTGTGGCCCATCGGCTCCACTGGCCTTATTATTCCCGCACAAATACCTGCCCCTGAGCATCCTTCGTTGGCCCGATCTTGCTGAGCAATAGCTTTTTAATTTTTTTTTTTTTTTTTTTTAATTTTTTTTTTTTAATTTTTTTTTTTTTTTTTTGAACTGAGAAACCAAAATAAATATTTCAGAGGAAGCAAGAAACAGAGAAACTCCGCGCTCGTCCAACAACCTGGCTCCGGCATTCCGATCTGTGGCCCGTTGAACCCCGCAAGTGCAGGCATCCTGGCGATCTCACGGGCAAACCCGCGTCTGAGTCTGATCTCTCGACACCTCGATCAGAGACTCCCATTACCCGCCCTGAACACCCCCTTTTCGACCGAGAGATCCGTGTCTGTCGAGCCCGACGATCTCGAATATAGTCCCCTCCAGCGAACCTCATCTCTCCCCAACAACAACAACAACAACAACAACAACAACAACACTACTGCTCAAAGAACCAGAAAAATGTCCACTCAAGCCTCTCACGCTACCGTCCTGATTCCGGGGCCCGTTGAATTCGACGATGCGGTCCTGCAGTCTATGTCACATTTTTCGTTCGTACCTCTGTTTATAGCTCCCTGCCATTCCGTACCATATTGCTGTCTATCCTCCAGCTAACTAAGATACAACTGTTAAAAAATTAAACAAAAAAATATACAGTGAGAGCCATGTCGGGCCCGCTTTCGTAAAGACATTCGGCGAATCCCTCACCCTCCTCCGCCGCCTCTTCCAAACCACCTCCCCATCCTCTCAACCCTTCCTCCTCGCCGGCAGCGGCACCCTGGGCTGGGATCTCGTCTCCGCCAACCTCATCGAGCGCAATGAAAACGCCCTGGTCTTACACACCGGCTTCTTCGGTGACTGCTTCGCCACATGCCTTGAAACCTACGGTGCCAAAGCAACCCAACTCAAAGCCCCGATCGGCGAACAACCCTCCCTCACCGAGATCGAACAAGCCCTCAAAGAGAAACCCTACAAAATTCTCACAGTCACCCACGTTGACACCTCCACCGGCGTCCTGGCAGATATCAAAGCCATAGCCGCCCTCGTCCGCCGCGTCAGCCCAGACACCCTCGTCGTGGTTGACGGCGTCTGCAGCGTCGGCGCGGAGGAAATAGCCTTTGATGCCTGGGACCTCGACGTCGTGCTGACCGCCAGCCAGAAGGCCATCGGCTGTCCTCCAGGCCTCAGCGTGGTCATGCTCTCTGGCCGCGCCATCCAGTGCTTCAAGGCCCGCAAGTCCCCGCCCGCCAGCTACTACGCCTCCATCGCAAACTGGCTGCCCATCATGCAGAACTACGAGGCCGGGAAACCCTCCTACTTCGCCACGCCTGCCACCCAGCTCGTGCATGCCATGCACACCACCCTGACGCAAGTGACTAGCAAGCCGCTTGCGGGCCGTTTTGCAACACACAAGGCTACCTCGCAGCGTGTTAAGAAGGCTGTCGCAGATTTGGGGTTGCAACAGCTGGCTACAAAACCTGAGAACCAGTCTAATGCCATGACAGCCATCCGCTTGCCGGAGGGCGTAACCCCACAAGACATCTTGCCTCTTCTGGCGAAGAAGGGCGTTGTGTTCGCTGGTGGATTGCATAAGGAGATTGCGTCTAAGTATATCCGCTTCGGGCATATGGGGGTCAGCGCCACAGACCCTACACGGCAAGATATTGATAGGGCAATTGCGGCTTTGAAGGAGGCTTTTGCGGAGCTGAGGAAGTAGTTTGTTTTCCCCTTGTTGAGAGCGAGGTTTTCGTTTATTTTTGTCCGATAGGATATATTATTATAAATAAATTTTAGTATGAGAGCCTTATATCTTGCTTACCGCATGTAAATCGGTGAGGGAAAAGGGAGTTAGTTACTTAATGCGATGAAAAGAGATTAAATGGAAGCATGCTTTTCAGTTGGTCATACAGCTAAGGGGGTTGGGAAAAGTTCGACCCCGCACGCATTGAAAAACGTCAAGACCTTAATCTTTTAAAAGTTGTTGCCCCTCATGTGGTTTCAACTGACCTGCAAAACTTTCTTAGCAACAGCTTCCAATTAAAACTACCTAGGTATCGACGTGCTTCATATGAACAGACAGACTTGACTGTCTGTAGAAAAATGTTGACAGGAAAGCAGATCGATCCCTCCTGACTGAATTATTTTTAATATGTATCGTAGTGTAGAAGCAAAGCAACTGAATTAAGAACCACAAGCAACTCAACTTCAGAATTCATAACAGCAACTAAACTAAACCTACATCGCTTATCTATCTCTTCTCTGTGCAAAAGTTTATCGAGGAAAAAAGAGAAAAACGGGAGGCATATAGAAAGTTGCCGAATACACAATCGGGTGTCAGAATCAAGATATTCGCGGGGTGAATGTAGAGAAGGAATGCAACGGTAACTAATGCAGATGGGTTAAATAAGTTGAAAGGAAAAAACGGAAAATGTTATTACGAGTCAACGTATTTTGGTTGCGGGGGGGGGGGGGGGGGGGGGGGGG